GCCAAAAATAAGGGTAACTACTATGAAGGGATAAAATATGACTCTAAAAATGAAAAATAAAAAAAATGTTTTTTTTAAAAAAGGGATTGATAAGATGTTGGTTGAAAAAGGGAAAAAGAAAAATTAAAAAAAAAAACAGTTAACAAATTATCTTTGATGAACTAATGAATCATGGTAAAACAAAAAGCCATGAATTCTATTTGCAGTATTCCCCTAGTGCGGAGTTCTCCCGTTCTCCTTGATCGGTAAACTTGGTCTTGGCTTGCTGGCTGTTCGAGCTGATCTTCTGGGGGGAGGGGCCTGTTGCCGTGGTTCCCAAATGTCTTTGCCGGAGGCGGAATTGCCCCGCCTCTTGTCGGTTGGGCTAAGCAATCTGCTCCGGTTTGCTCTCAGGAACTTTTGTTCCCTGCAAGCTCTCAGTACAGCTTTGGAGGACCAGGGTGAAAATGGTGGCCTCCCACTCTCCGCCCGCAGCAGCTGAGAACTCGGGGCCCCGCTCCTCAGTGCGCCCCCAGAGAAAAGCAGTCAATCACTCCCGCCTCCCTGGTCTCTGGCCGCACTCCGTGCTCACCCGGCCTGTGACCGAGCGTTTGTATCTCTGGCACCCGACCCCGTGTGGAGTCTCCAAACCCAGCAGATCCCTGCGGTGCGCTCCTGCGCCGCTCCTCCCGGGGTAGGAAGGGGAGTCTCCCCGGCTCTGCCGCTTGTTGGGTCCCTGCTGGAGGGGCAGTGGCCCAACTGGGCCGCGGATCACAGTCTATGGCAACCCCGAGCTGAGAGCCCGCGCCTCGGCTCCGTCTCTGCAGCCGGCTTCCCCGCTCCGATACCTGGGAGCTCTGCCGCACTCAGGAACCCCCGGTCTTTCTGTGACCCCGAGGGTCCTGAGACCACACTGTCCCGCGAGGTTTCCACCCCCACCCCCCCCCACCCCCGCTGAGCCACTGGAGCGACGTCCCTCAGCGGAGCCGACTTCTAAAAGTTCCGATTTTGTGCTCCGCGGCTCTATCACTTGCCAGAAGCGGCCGATGGAGGCCCCCTCCCCCGCTGTCTATCCTCCTGAGTATTGCCTCGGATTTACTTCTCCGCATGTCCTACCTTCCAGAAAGTGGTCGCTTCTCGGTTCAGAGAGTTGTTGCTACTCTCCTCTTCGATCTCCTGTTGAGTTCGTAGGTGTTCAGAATGGTTTGATCCCTATCCAGCTGAATTCCTGAGACCAGACGAAATCCAGGCCTCCTACTCTTCTGCCATCTTGCTCTGCCCCTAATCCGGCTTTTGGGTTTCTTTCAGAGGGGATTGCTCTGTGTGTGGCTGTACAAGCAGTGTATCTGTGGGAGGAAGGAAATTCAGGAGCCATCTGTGTTGCCATCTTGGTGGCAAAAGCAAATAAAACAACTTTTTTTTTTTTTTTTTTTTAATTAAGAAAAGAAAGCCAGTCACGGTGACCTCAGCTAGAAGATACAGGTGTTAAGAACCGGTATCAACTATTTCTGGGCCAGTTGCCTCATAACCTTAAGCACACAAGCTTTAAGGAAGGATGTGGAATCATTTCTAATTCTCTACACTGTGCCCCTCTCCCCAGGATCAACTCAAGACATGACAGATGACATTAGAGTTCTTTCCAGTTGTGCTACTGTCAGCAAGGAGCTCAGCCAACCTAACCAAGATCACTTGAGGGCGTAGCACGGGAAGGATGAATATAATTCATCTTTTTTCTCTTTGCTAGGTGCAGAAGAATTCTAGTTCTCAGAGAACTGTTCCTTTCTGCTTAAAATAGTATCAAATTTTCCGTCCAAGTCGTCTATGAATAGGGGCAATTTGTTTTGATGTTAGGACAGAGCTTTGGAATCTGGTGGTGACACAGTACCTTGGATTCTCTGCAAGGCATCGGTCAGCTTGTGTTCTCAGGACTTAGTTTTTTCCTCCATAAAATGGGAATGAAAAATACTCATTTACTTTAGGAGATTTTAGGGGAATTATTTAAAACTATTTTTTAACTGCTGAATAACTCAGGTGGAAAGCAGTGAGCGTGTAGGAATTTTTGGGAAGAGATCTGATTAATATAAGTTGTGTTATTTTCTGGGTTCTTTAGAGAAGATATGGAATGAATTTTAGGCTTGGAATAAGGGCCATCTCAAGGTCTGTCTTTTGGAAAAGAGCTAGAATTCATTCCTAATACTGGCAGCTTACATGTAGGAAAGTGCTTCCTGGCCCGGATCTGGGATTTGAACAGTGTTCGAGTCTTACCTTGGAAGAATCATTTGACATGAAAAGACATCTAAGTTTTTATGTAATTCTTATAATATTTTTATAAGAAGAGATTAGACATTTACCTCCAGATGAAAGCATAATGTTTTCGTGTTTAGTTTTCTCATAAATTAATCCATGTCTGAGGCGCCTGGGTGGCTCAGTTGTTAAGCGTCTGCCTTCGGCTCAGGTCATGGTCCCAGGGTCCTGGGATCGAGCCCCGCGTCGGGCTCCCTGCTCAGCAGGGAGTGTGCTTCTCCCTCTGACCCTCTTCCCTCTCGTGCTCTCTATCTCTCATTCTCTCTCTCTCAAATAAATAAGTAAAATCTTTAAAAAAAAAAAAATAACCCATGTCTTTATTTTTTCCTGCAGACAAAACTGTGTGGAGTTTTACCCCATATTTCTGATTACATTGTGGATGGCTGGATGGTATTTCAATCAAGGTAATTTTAAAATACGATCAACTCTGTTCTAATGATGACTGTGGTTCTTTGAACCATTAAGGAACAGATGTGCGACCATACATCTACTGATCCTGGAAATTGTTTTAAACAAAATAATCCATGTATCTGTGCATCAAAGAGCAGTGTTCTGCAGATAAGCTAACTTTGGCTTCATTTCAATTTAATTCAGTAGAAAAAAAAAAAAAACAAAAACAAACTTGGAACAAACTGTAGGCTGGGCATTCCCGGATGAAAATGACATGAGCTCTGTCTTCGACTCTGATTCCTTAATTCTAGTTTCTCTGCAACAATTCACCCTAATGATCATAGCTATTATTTATTGAGCACTCGCTATGTGCCAGGTACTGTTTTAAATTTTCAAACCTATCCAATGTACAGGATATGGAGGATTAAAAACCTTCCTATGAGGTAGATTCTATAATTAATGCCTGCTTTACAGATGAGGAAGCTAAATCACAGGTTAAGTAATTTGACCAACTTAACATTCATCAGTGTGGGAGAAAATTGGCTTTCAAGTACAGGCAGGGTCTGTAGGTGTTTCCCCAATAACCCATGTACCTTTTCTTTAGTTCACAAAAATATAGTGTTCCTGTGTGTAGCAACTCTGCAAACATCTGGGAATATCCTTGGTGAGCTGAAGGCTTAACCCAACTCGGCCTGTCTCTTTAACAGGGGGTCAGATTAGCAGCAGATACCGTAGTTGGAGAAGTTCAGTCTCTTCTTGCTTTCTGATAACTCTCATCACCTCATTTGGGTCTGACACTTGATGGCTAAGATTGCAGTAAACGCCGGTCCAGCTGCTTTCAAAGGCAACCCCATCACTGTCTTCTTGTAATTTTTACTGTCAACTGAGGAATTTCAGATACAATGTCCTTCAGAGAGAGACTCCTTAACTCTATTCCAACTCACATTTGTGTCCCCTGAGGGCATGAATGAAGGCGGTTGTTCCTTGTCAGGTAAGACTGCATTAACAACTAATAAGAAAAGTGCCTTTGATAACGGGACTCAGTCTCTGCTGTTTGACCCTTTGGATATTTCACTGTAATGGGCTGAATGAGGCCCACTGTCAGAAAAGGATTTTCTGTCATGATTTTCATTCTTTCTCATGAAAAGTTAAGTTGCCTATTAATTGTCCTGAATAGTTCTCATTGGCTTCGCGGGAGTTAAGTCATTAAAGCAGGGGCGGGGCGGGGGGGCCTTCAAAACTGCAGCCCGTTTCAGGAGCTCTGCACTTCCTCCCTCACAGGCAGGTGCCCACCCCTCATCTCGTCGCTTGGCCCCCTCCTTCTCACCTGCGGGCCCCACACAAGCGTCCTCCCCTCAGGACGCCTTCCCTGACCCCTTTTTAAGGGCGGCCGCCTCCGTCCCTGCTGTTCCATCCATCCTGCTTCACTTCCTTCACTGCACTTTCAATTCTGTGATGTTCTTCTAATTTTTCCTCCGTGTTGTCTGTCTTTGCTGATAAACTCTGTAAAGGTAGGGAACTTGTATCTATTTCACTGCTAATCCCAATCCTTGGAATAATACCCGGTATAGAGTAGAAACTAAAGAAAAGGTTTGTGATCTAATAAAATAAGGAATTTAATTTTATCCAGGATATCAGAGCCCTACAGATGGACTTCAAGTGTGTACCAGAGGGCTCTTGAAGTTGCTGAGGAAGAGAGAGGGTCCCTGATGGTAAGGGAAGATACTGATATTTTCTGTTGGACAAGATGGCAGAGGATCATGCCACCCTTTACATCTCTTTTAGGTAAAATTTATATTCTGTATAGTGAAAGGCACAGGTCATACATGTACCATTCAATGAGTTTTAACAAGTGTATACCCATCAAGAAGGAGAACATGACTACCACTCGAAGTTTTTTTTTTAAAGACTGTATTTATTTATTTACTTATTTGAGAGAGAGAGAGAGCAGGGGGAGGGGCAGGGGGAGAAGGACAAGCATGTGCGGCTTGATTTAACAACCCTGAGATTACGACCTGAGCTGAAACCAAGAGTTTCACGCTTAACTGACTGAGCCACCCAGGCGCCCCCAGAAAGTTTTCTTATGCCCCCCCTTCATATGCCCCTCCTCATTAGGCACTTTCAGAGGCAAACACTAGTCTGGTCTTTTTCATCATAGTTTAGTTTTGTCCATTCTAGAACTTTCCATAATTGGAATCATATAGTATGTACTCTTGTGCAATGCTTCATTCACTCAGCAAAATGTTGAGACTCACTATGTTGTTGCAGGTATCCGTGTCTTTTCGTTGCTGAGTGGTATTCTGTAGTATGATTATCTCAGTTTGATTATCCATTCTCCTATTGATAGGTTTCTGGGCTCTTTCCCGGTTTTACTATTATGAATGAAGCTGCAATGAACATTCTGTACAAGTCTTTTTATGGACATGGGCTTTCGTTTCTTTTGGGTAAATATATAGGAATGGAATTGCTGGGTCAAAAGTATGTTTAGCTTCATAAGAAACTACCAGAACTTTTCCCAAAGTGGCTGTACTATTTTGCACTCCCACCAATAATGTATGAGGATTCCAACACCGCCAACATTTTGTGTTGTTGGTCTGTTTAAATTTTAGCCGTTCCAGTGGGTATGCAGTGGTGTCCTCTCATTGAGGTTTTAAGATGCAGTTTGCTGATACTGAATGATGTTGAATAATATTGAAAAAAAACTCTCATGTGCTTATTGGTACATTTGCTTATCTTCCTGCATGAATTGTCTATTCAAATATTTCGCCCATTAAAAAAATTAAGTTGTTTTCCTTTCACGATTGAATTGTTGAAGTTGTTTGTGTATTCTGGACACACACACGTTTTGTGAGCATTTTCTCAGTTGTCATACCACATTTTGAGAGACCGCCATCATATTCTGTATCTTCTCTATTTTCTCTCTATAGGTTTTGCTACTTGTCTGGGACTGGTCTATATATATGCCCGTCACCAGTATTTCTGGGGATATTCAGAAGCAGCTAAAAAAAGGTAAGGAGAACCTACGAATTGGGTGTTTAGGCGAAGAGTAGCAAGATGGAGTCTGAATTAGCTGCACGTTCCTGAGGGTATTGGTAGCCCCAGTGGTCGTGGTTCTTCCCAGGCTGTGAGCAACTAGGGGGAAGAAGGGAACATCAAGTACAAGCTGTACACTCAGTGTGCACTCATGGCCACCACACTTGAACTCCTTGCAAGAATTGTGCACAATCTCCAAAAAGTTGCAAAGGAAATAATCCGGCCCAGTCTTGATCATCCTTCGAATGTGCAAAGGGGCCAGCCTCTGTGGCTAGGCATCCCCTTGAATTTATGGGACGAATCAAAATTTTCAAATGGCAAAAGCATGGAAGTTCTGGGCAGTGCCAGCAACGAGCAGCCTACCTCAGAACGCTTCCCTTCGTCACTGCCGCTGGTTATCACCTCTCTGCTTCATGTCTGTCTCGTAGGATCACCGGTTTCCGGCTGAGTCTGGGGAGTCTGGCCTTGCTGACGGTCCTAGGCGCCCTGGGGATTGCAAACAGCTTTCTGGACGAATACCTGGACCTCAGTGTTGCCAAGAAACTGAGACACTTCTGACGTTACCCCCTCCCTTTGCCCACATGCTTGCAGAAGCTATTTCCGCCCTGAAGGTCGTGTGGGGTCAACTGATCAATTCTTAAAAAGAAAAGTCTTTGTTTTGTTTTTCCTGAAATGGCTTTGTAGGAACATACCCACTAGAGAATACATTTCCTGTTTCAGAATTAAAGTCCGCCCTGAGGGGATAGAGCCACAACCTCAGTGGAAGTACACAGGCTCTGGTTCTGGAAGCGTATGCTGAAGTCGCGATTGCTTATGTGGGGAGAAAGCAGCCTGACCATGTGCCGGGTTTTCTGTGGGGCCACCATCATCCCCTGCCTCTGATGACCGTCCCACTTCTGTCTTGATGGAACGTTCCAGACAGATGCTGATAAGGCAGCCGTGCTCACTTTATTGGTTGTAGGAGAGCAACATATGGCTGCACATGGGGGACGTCAGGCAAACACGTAGAATAGCCAGAGAAGAGAGTCATCAACTAATAGCATAAAACAAATCTGGGTGCAAAATTGACTTTTTAAAGAAAAAAGAGGGGGGGCATTCATTTTTAAGGAACCATTCAGAGACTAGTGTGCAGTGGATGTCCTTGCCCCTGGCCAGGGGAAGGAGGGGCACCATCACAGCTAGAGCTGGGTTCCGCTGTACGTCCTGTGTCCTGCATGGTTTGGGGCCAGCAGCTCTTGTGACCCTGCAGTGCGGTCACTGTGTGGCACAATGCAAATGGTCCTCCTTTACTTTCTTCATCTTCTTCTTTTTTTTTTTTTTTTAGGATTATTTATTTGAGAGAATGCACAAGTAGGGGGAGCAACAGAGGGAAAGGGAGAAGCAGGCTCCCCGCTGAGCAGGGAGCCCAGATGCAGAGCTCGATCCCAGGACCCTGGGATCATGACCTGAGCCGAAGGCAGACGCTTAATGACTGAACCACCCAGGCGCCCCTACTTTCACCTCACAGTCTTCAGGGACGTTAGGAAAATGGAGTTATGAGCACAGATAACACATTTTAACATCCGGGAAAGGGCTCTTTGTCCATTTTTCTAAAGAAATCTGGACAGCCTCGAGTCTTTTATGGGCATCTTCAAGAAGCTGTTGACTGGGGGGGCACAGAGGAAGTTTTAAAGACTGAATAATAGGAAAAGAAAGAAAGGCAATTAAACACCAGCGTTTCCAGAATAGTGGGGAAGCGATGACACTGCCCTGCACCCCACATAGCGGTACTAAATATTCGCAAATACACTGAGAACACAGCGGTCTGGGAATGGGGCTATCAGGATCCTACTCACTGGCTGTTTGCCTTCGAATAAGGCACCTCAGCAATAGGGGCCGTGCAGTGAAGAAGTGATGCCCGGAGCCAGACAACACTAACCTTCTTAGAGCACGTGCTGGGGCCTCCTACTGCGGCTCTTCGTGGCTCTCGGCCTCCGTTTTCTTTGGGCAAAATGGGGCTTCTTCCCTCACTCTAAAATGCTGTGTTTCTCTGGCCTTTTGGCTTGTTAGTATTCTGATCAGTTATGGTGACTTGTATGGTGACATTTAATTGTTTTACACATTGAAGACAATAAGGAAGAAAGAATGCAAATTTCTGACCCCGAAGAGCAATCACTGCATAATCATATCCTTCTGAAGTGGGGAAAAGAACACTCGACTTTTCCCAATCTTGCACTTGAGGATTTACAAACAATTTCTATTTTGCATCTAAATTGGAGCTATTTAAAAAGGTAAACTACAGGGGCGCCTGGGTGGCTCAGTCCGTTAAGTGTCTGCCTTTGGCTAAGGTCATGACCCCAGGGTCCTGGGATCCAGCCCCGCATCAGGCTTCTTGCTCAGCGGGAAGCCTGCTTCTCTCCCTCTGCTCCTGCCCCTGCTTGTGCTCTCTCTCAAATAAATAAATAAAATCTTAAAAAAACAAAACAAAAAGATAAACTACAAACACATACACAGCATTTGGTTAAAAATGTGGAAAAAGAAGAATGGGTACACCAGGATATCAGAGCTTTGTATCTTTAAACATCTGAACTGTAAAATTGATTTCCTTTGTTCTAATTCTATTGTCACCAAGGCAACCTCTTGATTATTTTAATTCCTATAAATTTGGCTACAAGGCGGAAATGTGCTGGCCAGAGAGATGTGTTTCTGGTCTGTTCGAGAGTTATATAGGTATATGTTTTGTATATTAATGAGTTGATGGGTTTTATTTTTAGAAATCAGATTCCTTGTCTCAAAAAAATGTTAAGAAAAAAGGGGATGGAGAACCATTCTATATTAAAAGAGCCTTAAGAGGCATAAAAACCAAACGGCAATATTGGATCCTTGATCAAATCCTGGCTGGAAAAAAACAGCTATGGAAGACATTTGGGAGACAGTTGGGACAATCTGAATATGAAGTGAGAATTAGGTGATATTAGGGAATTAATGTTAATTGTGTGAGGCGTGAAATTATCTTGTGGCTAGGGAAGAGAATGTCCTAATTCCTCGGAGCTGCGTGTTGAGAGGTTGAAGGGTGAAGTAGCTGAATGGGGATAACTTACTTGAAATGGTTCTGCAAAGTATACATGCAAAGCATATATGGCAAAGTGCTAAGAGTTACTAAATTGAGGTTAGTGTGCAGTTATGCATCGTTCTACTTTTCTGTTTGATAATGTTCATAATGAAAAGTTTAAAAATCATTTCTAAGAAGTTAAAACCTAAAATCAGATTCTTGGTAGCTGTGAACATTTTTTTTTTTTTTTTTTTTGATTGAGCACTGTGTGCTTGTTACGGGGTCTGTGGGATTGGTAAGGCCACAGTGTTAGTGGTGGGCCAGCAGCTGTCCGGGACCCGGCAGGGACACTGGGGCCCCGCTTGTGTGGGTACTGCCATAATCCCCTCCACCTGTTGCATGAAATCAGACAGGTGGTGGTAGCTTGCCCAGAAGACACCGGAGTGGGAATCAAATGTTGTTGGAACTTGAAAAAGAGACTAGAAGACAAAACTGAAGAGAGGAGAAGAGGGGGAAAAAAAAGAAAAAACAACAGAGCACGGATTATACAAACAAGTAGCCCTGTCCCTTCCCAGGCATTTCCCCTCCCCTACCTGCCTTTGCAGGGTTGGAGGTGGGTGCGGTGTTAATAAGGAAAAACATACATCCGGTCGTTTTTTTCACACTTTGTCTCCAGACACAGTTTTCCTTGAAAAGAGTGGTCACAAGCAGATAGTTCATCTGATGCTTCTGAATGCTCCTTAATTTTCAGCAATAAAATACATCTTTCTCACTGGGACAGATGCTTAGTGACTTCCCCGATAGATGTTCATTCTCTGCCTCTTCCCCCCTCACACACTTACTGCACTGGGATTACCTATAAGAGATCGTTTCAAAGGAGAAGGGGATGCCATTCATCCAGTGCACAACACACTTTCGTGTGAATGAAAACGTGTGGTTTTAATTACTTGGGTCTAGGAATACTCAACTCTTCTCAGAGCTTCAAGCTTTTACTTCTGTTTATCAGCCTCCCCCCTCCCCCCATCAGTTCATTCTTCAACTTTTTGTTATCTGGTAGAATACTACGCCCTTATCGGTGGGACAAAGCCCCGTGTCACACAGTTTTCTCCACTCTGTTGTTATTTGCCAGCCAGTCTGGAACCATAGTCTTCCAGGGGTAGGGCCGGCCTCTCCCATAGTCAAGTGCATTCTTTCTCTTGGTTAGTAGGTATTAAACCTCTCCTTTGTTTTGGATCGGTTTTTGAGGATGATTTTATTCTGTGCTTGTGCCCTGTTTTTCTGTTTAACCCAGATAGTTTTGAATCGTGTTGTTTTACTATGCTTTTTCAAGTTTGAGGGAAAGTCTTAGGTCAAGTCTCCTAGAAGGGGAAGGGGTGGATTCACATGTGTGTGATTCATTAGTGAAGGTCCCCCAGGAGGGCAATCAGAACAGAGTGGGGAAGGGCCAGAAGCCCCAGTAAGGACAACTTCAAGCAAAGTCCTAGCCTCTGCCTGATCCCACAGGGGAGCTCTAGAACATAAATCCTATTTCAGGGCTGGTCCAGGCCACCTGACTGCGTTCTCACACTCTTGCTCTAGCAGGACATTGACTAGGGTGGACCTGGAGAAATGTAAACTTCTAATCATTTCCAACAGTTTGTGGACGGTGCAGGCCAAGCCAGTCCTAGGCCCAGGGAAAGAGAGATGCAGCAAGGGCTGGTAGATGCAGCAAGGGCTGGTAGAAATGAGGTGTCCGTGGGTTTTGTGTGTGTGTGTGTGTGTGTGTACACAGTGTCCACTACAGTGGGGCAAGACCCTTGTGTTACTCTTCCTTCCATATATTCCTTGAGGTTTCTTTTTTTTTTAAATGAAAATTTTACTATCAATTTTCTAATGAGCCAGTTGGAAATTGAAAATACTGAATCTACAAATGGACTTCAGTATGTTCTTTTCAAAGCTGACTTTCTTCTCTTCTGTTTGCTACATCCCTGGGGGTGCAAATTTAGAAAGTTTTAGTTGTGTGGTTGAATTGAAAGACTGGGAATGATTGATCTCCACTGTTAAATAAATGTTTAATGATATCACGAATTTTAAGACAAGAACTGCAGTTAATCAATTAAAACCCAGGCGTAGTATATCCGTTTAATTAAGGTTGGAGATCCAGTGACATTCCTAAAATAAACTATACTTTGGATCGATTCAGATAATGACCTTTTATTTGTTTTCTTTTCTTTAAAAGTGGTATGTCAACATCACTTCATTTCTACATTTCAGAGTTCTGTACATTTCTTAAAAGGAAATAAGCAATGCTCAATGTACAAAGTAAAAACAGAAAACTAGAAAAATCTGAATAAAATGGAGCAAGTTGCCATAGGTCATACAGTACAAATTAGTCATTAGATGTCATCTGAAGTGCAATATACCACTGCTGTGATGATGAGTTAAGGAATGAAATAAAAATACTCTATTTTAAACAAACAGTATATATATATTTATATGTATATTTTTTACAGATAGTAGACCCAGTGATATCTGCAGTATTGTAAAAACTTATTTACAAATAACTTTTTTAGACATTACATATACATCAGCACCGTAGTAAAAACAAAAACAAAAACAAAACAAAACGACCTTATTAAAATCTACCTCTCTATTTAGTTGGTCCCAGTACTAAGCATTTGGAGGAAGCTATTAAAAAGTAATGGAGCCCCCTTCTCCCATCGGCCACCTCCAGCTTCTCATCATTGCTCATATA